AGATACAAATTGTTTCCCCCTGCTTCTTTTTACAAGAAAATCTGATCCTGTTTGAATTACAGAAACCAGCTGCACAGACCCAACATCCTGACAATCCAAAGCCAGATTCAAACCCGTTATTTTAAACCCTTTAAGTTGTCTACGTATATTCTTTCAAGTAGATTTCCCATGGATCTCAACTGCTTGAATAGCTAGAAATTCTGTGGTATTATTTGAAATTGATTTTCGGCACATGCTTACCTAGGGAAGAATCATCAAACCAGACATTGCTCTGTATTTTGCTGGAGGGTGTAACATGGTAGAGCATACTCACTGTATGAAGTAGGAAGTATGAAACTGAACGCTAAACTAAATATTATCAATTCTTCAAAGCCTGGGTATTCCCCTCTTCCCCAAGGATCCTGTCTACACAGGTAGCATCCTGTTTGCACCATCTCCTCTGCAGCTTAGTAATTCTTGCATTTTGTTTTGCTTTAGCAAGGACGTTGCCTTTGAATCTACATCTTATGTGTTAAATCGTTTATAGTTCTAGATCCCCATCCCCCAATTTAAAAGAATCCATCACTGGAATTTATCTCCATCTCCCAGGACATTAAAAGAATATGTAAAAATATTTCACATAAGGAAATGAATGCTGGTTGTGGAAAAGCACCTAACCGTCTTGGATTTATTCCATTGTGTACATATATTTACATGGGCATTTTAATCATTTGATCAGACTACTGAAGGAGGATGTTGTGATCTGAATACACATCACCCGAGTAATATTTAACAATTAGCTGAAAACTGTTGTCATTTTCTTATATGCCATAAAACAATTCATTTTAGCCATTTGACCAAGGAGTATTTTTAAATTCCCTCTTCACTGTATCAAAGAAACAGCAGCATTCCCACCAGAGCAGAAGTGGCATATTCTAACATTCCTTTCTAATGTCTTTTATCTTTCAGTCAATAATTATCCAGACTACAGATGGGACACTACCTATTCTTTTATACAGTAAAGGTTCTTATTTTGGAGGCTGACCAGCATAAGGACCAGTGGGACCACACTTCCCTCACTCTAGCAGTGCTTTTGGTGTAGCAGTTGAAATTATTACAAGGCAGAAAACTGCTGGAGTGAAACCGAGAAACAACATTCAAAATACAATACACAGAGCTATTGCAAATCAGATATAATGTATACATACAAGAATTTGGCAGACTTGAAAATAGGTAAATAGAATTATAAATCTGCATGTTGATACCCCACATGAAATTTAGGCCAAGATTATAGTTGCTTTGTAAACAATTATAGCAGTGTACCAGGTTACAATGCTGAAAAGGCTAATTTCAGAACATCTCATTTCAAAACTGGATTAGATTTGAAGTGATAAAGATAACCCTGACTTACTAACAGTACTAGCATGATTTCTTTTGAGCTATTCTTTGAGGACATGGTAATGTTTTAAATCAGAGCTAAGTTTAGAAGAGATTGTATGATACCTTTTGGAAGCATGGTATGTTAAGACTATACTATTTTAAATAACTAACTATAGATTTTCCTTAAATCACTACATTAACTATGTTCAGTGTACATAGAATTACGTATATATAATTATTTATATATATACACATGTATAAAGAATTATGCAAATTAACTATACATTTTCATTATTAACTGTGGACTTTTCTTAGAGCACTGAAAGACAGAGTAGACCAAACCACAAAGCTTCTCTGAAAAATATTTTCTCTTTTCTTTCCTCTCATTGTACGGCAAAGGAAAACCAAAAAGCAATCTGTACATTTTTTTGTTACTGGATTAACAATGTGCTTGTGCTTGTTTTCTTTTTTATTTCCCATAACAATAATGCATTAAAAGACTATGCAATTCATCAGCACAAAAAAATCTGATGATTTAGAAGAAAAATTAATTTATCTATGTCTACAAAATGAGTTCAATTACAATTTAAGCTTCTGTTTCACAGAGAGAGGATTAAGGATTTTTTTTTCCCCACATAAAAATATTTCTAATTTGTCTACAAAATCAACAGATAGGAAAGGAATGCTAAATGTTTCTTACTTGTTCTGCATTTTCTTTATTTGACTTATTTTCTTCATCCTCTTCTTCTTCTGGCTCTACAGGTGCAGGAGTCAGGGAAGCCACAAAATGCCATAAAATATCATGAAGAGAAGTTGTTTGAATGACATTACAAAGAAGCCAGTTGAAAGCCTAAAATAAATTACATACAAGGCGTTATCAATTGGTTAAGCAAACCTACTGAAGTAAAACCATTTCTTAAACTATTTATGTATGAAGGTGCATTGATGCTTTTGGACAGGCAAACAATAATGCAAAGGTCTTCAAGTAAGACACATTGCTCTGTAGCTGTAACAGTTTACTAAAATGACAACTGTATTACAGGGGACATAGCATAATCTTAAAAAAAAGTTCCAAGAAAGAATTTACAACCATCTTATTTTAATCATGCAAGGTCCATTAGTACATTAATACCTCCATGGCAAAGACTCGGCAAGCAGATTTCCGTAAGGCTTGTTTCATTGCTATTTCAAGTCCTTCCAGATCATGATGCTGGATTACAAATGCCAATACTGGCCACTGGAAATTTCTCTCTCCTTTGGAAAGAGAGCTGTGGGCGGAGATTAACCGAGAAAGTTCAGGAGATGGATGTCTCAGGAGAGAGGACCCCACTTCTATTCAAAAGCATAAAAATATACACACATTAGATTCTTTGCACATTTCAATTTTATAGTCACAGTAAAAAAGAAAAGCAATAAAGCACTTTTAGAATTGATGTATTTTTTCCATGAGAAAATTGCATTAAAAAAAGCAATGTGGAAAAATGGTGCTTTAACTGAGAAACAAAATACCACCTTCGCTTTTAAATCAAGCACAAAAGATTCACCACAAATTTCAAAATCAGTAATTCCTGAGCTGATTTTAGGCTAATCCTGTGCTGACTAACAAATAGCTAATGTTTATTAATAACTAGAAATAAAAACCACTACATATATTTATTTAAAAAATACATTTGTCTACAGTTTCCAAGAAGAACTGCAAATACTTGAATAATTTTTCCCTGCTTCTGATGTCTGTGCTCTTACCTGCATCTCCACTGTTGACTCGTCTCCTAGGGATTGCCTTTACACGTGCTGGCAAAATTGAGTGCTGTTTGTCATATTCTGATGCAACAACTGAATATGATCTTTGAAAGACTGTGCGCTTTGCAAGATCTGTATCTGTTATTGGACTGGTTTCCAAACTACAAAGAAATAAGTGATACACTCATTAACAAATATATAGAGTATTATCTGAATTACACATAAATATTAAATAAGGATACATGCATTTCATAATGACAATGCTATACTGCATGAAAGTTTGTCTTATGCACCTAATAACTATTTAAATGCTGAAAAAGAAGGAATATGTATTAGAATTACACATGGTGAAAAAGCATGCAAGTGCTTTATAAACAAATGTAATGACGTACATGGTAGATTCCAAGAATTTAGGTATTTTTTTTTAGAGAGATACAAACACACAGATCATGCCTGAATTGAAGTTTCAGACCAAACTTGTCCTGAGAATGCACATGAAAACATCTATGGAGTGAATTTTTAATATGCAAGCCAACTGAAATTTAGAACTTTATGTGAAGTATATAGTTTCTAACATCACTAGCCTTAAAGTCAATTTTCAATTGCTATGGCTATACCTCTGACATGTTTTACTCCTTACCTTCCATGGACTTCTTACAGTCTGCAGAAGAACTCCCAGCTTATGCTGTCCCTATAGGCCTCAGGAGACCATGGTGTCCACAGTTTTAATAAAGGAATATACCAATACGAAGCACTCTTAAGGAGTTTTGTTAGAAAAGTTCTATTTCTGAAAAGACTACATTGTAGATTGTAGTATTCCAATAAACTGTTTTTGCAGTCAGTATAAAATATAACAGATTGAAATAAAAACAGATTAAAAGCAAGTCTTCTCTTCATTACATCCTCACTATAATATGAGGAATCACCGACATCTGAAAACACTAAGCATCTAAGTTGATTCTAGACTATTATTAACAGTAAGAGCCTTTTTTAGCCTAGCAAAACAAAAATTTCTGTAACTGCTTGAATTAGATCACAGTAAACTTAATGAGATAAGCAAGTGGCTTAACCTGACAGAAATCATCTATCTCTCTTGGTCCTAGATAGCATTAAGTTGCAATTTTTTCAATGACATTTTAACTTCCACACAGAAGGAAGCAGCAACATTTGCTCTGAAAACTGTAAGGTAATGAAATTTCTTTCCATTAAAACTTCCCTTCAGAATGAAATTCTGAATGGAGAACAACAGCCACTTCTTTCAAAAAGTCCATTAATATACATTCAGTCAGCTGTGGTAAAGAATAGATATACAGTGGAAAAAGCTGCTACATTTTCAAGGAGTTTGCAACAGCTTTGGTCCTTGGATTATTGATCTTTAGATCACTTGTAAAGTTTTGAAGATTCTGAAAAAATTGTCTCTAGGAGACAAGCAAACCTGGAGTAAAGACTATGGATAAATTCCCCTGAGGTATGCTAAGAGTCCTTATCAATTGAACAAAATTTTTTCATACTTAGGTTGTAAACCCAGGACCTTTCTAGAGAGAAGCAATTGGTTTGCAGTACAGTTAAAAGTTGCAATTGTGATTTGCATATTCCTTGCATATTTGCATAATCAAACATATTCCATTGCTAATGGTTGAAAATATACCTGGTAAGTTATGATTCCCTGAAGATATTTTTCTAACTACAGCTTCATATCCTTTTGGTTTTTTTGTTGCCATTTCAGAGACTGATCTCTGCTGATCTGATACTTTAGCTACTTAACTGCAGCAATGTTTTCCTTTTTTTTTTAATTGGTGTTATCCTAATGCTTTAACACTTGTATGTAGTACCTAAAATTATAAGGAAATACCTTGGGGGCATAGATTTCATGTTACTCTCTGGTTCTTCAAAGACATTAGGACTTGCATCAGGAGTAACTGAGATATACGGTGCAGGTACTGAAGTTGAGCGCAAGTATCTCATCTCATCCTGGAAGAGGTTGTCATCCTGGTACCCAACAAAATTTTCATGATGATGCCTAAATCAAATTGGATTTTTAAATTAGGATTAAGGATTACAAGTTCCTGAAACACACATACACAAAAGTCCTTCACCAATACATTTAGTTAGCCAACACTATTCATTTACTCCTTGCGTACTAATGCTTTTAAGCTAGTTGTGACTTAAAAGTGGTACTGGAAAATACAATGGCATTTTCAAGCAAGAGGGAGTGGGGATCACCCTTTACTATCTTTTAGTATTTTTTTAGGTATTTCCAGAATGTATTTTAGGTCCAAACGTCTATCCAACATAAACATGACACACTACAGTGAAATCTACTTAAAAGTACCAAGAAAGCCCAAGTCGTCTGGTTTCCTTCTTACTATTTTTAACTGCGAAGAGGAAAAAGTAGCATATATGTCTGCTACTAACACACTAAGTTAAACTCTTTGGGAAATTCTAAATTCTTTGGACAGAAACTAAACTGTTGTTAAAAAATATTTAGCACTGAAAAACTACTTAGGGTATATTTGACATTATGAGAAAATACAATTTATGAGATTGAAAAAGATCATGGATTAAGAGACAGAAGAATAAATATCATAAAGAATTAGGAAAATATATATTTTTCTATGTAAGTTTTCATTTAGTTTATACACACATTTTTATTCAACACTATACATAGGTGAGTAATAAAGTCAATACTCATACACTTCCTTTAATCACCTTGCTAAAGTCTGTAGATAGAGACATGGCATTTTAATGGGAAAGTCTTCAGAAATTCCTTCTTTGAGACTGGGAAGTTGAGATTGGAATGCTTTTGCAGGGTGATAGCAGAGGATACTAGGCTCAGCAGCACTACTCAGCGACAGTAAATAGAGCGCATTTGCTTTAATCACTTGATGAGCTTCCATAGTTGGCAAGGCACGAGGTGTCTTAACTTGCATTGGTTTTCTCCTAGATTGTTTAATCTAGATAAAGTTAAAAATCATATAATTAAATTATACTGCACCACAGGAAAATCTGATAACATAGCTTATACTAAATCTGTTGTAAAATATTTTCTATGACAAAATGCACTTTTATTTTTAAAACTTTGCAAACATTTAATAAAAAGCTGATAGCTTTGACAACTGCCTCAGGATTAATTTTGTGTGCACAAAGTTTCAACAAATTTAGTTAAAAAAATAAAGTTTAATTAGCATTGTTCTGCTTACCTTAGAACCTCAACTTATTTGTATACTTTAAGCAAGAATTTAAAATTAGTCCTGGAACACCAATATAAGAACATCACCTTTCATACTATTCCCATTAAAAATTGCTCTAGTGGTATCTTGTATCCAATGTTCTGGATTATTAAGATCATTAAAGAAACTATAAACACAAAGTTAAAATAGCACTCATTTCAGTAAACAAATATAACAATTCAAAGTTAAATAAACTGACAAATACTTAAAAAAATTAGGTATTACATTCAATGCTGCAGTTATAGTGGGATAAAAAAATAAAATTATAAATTTGAAAACACTATCATCTGAAGAGAAGAAATCTGATTGGAAGTTTGGAAGTTGGCAAAATTTCTATCTTGTCATCTTAAACCTAACAATAGCATAAGAGGATATTCCAAAACCTTTCAAAGTTATGAAATTCCAAATTTTTTAAACTGGCCTAACCTTATTTTCAAGTTGTGAACACAGCACTATTAAGGAGACAAGATATCTAAACATATGAAAACCAGTTGAAAATACCTTCTCTCTTGCTGCTGCTTGCTTTTCACGGAGATATTTTTCTCTGCATCGATCGCAAACCAAATACCAAGTGCTTCCTCCAATACCACCATCGCCACAATTGCCAGCCCATCCTCCACAGAAGTGCCCAATGCTGTTGTAACCTTGGCCACCTGCGTAACGGCCACAACCTATGTTGGGGAAAGAGGGAAAAACAAGTTATTTCAAAAGAAGGGTTACTATTATATCTTCTATTACTGTAGAAGAGGGATGAAGAGGGGGTAGGAAGATACTTGTCTTCTGGCCTAATTTTCTACTTTTCTGTATGTCTGAATTGGTTACAAAACAATGGTTTTGTCCATGTTTTCAAGTTTTTAAGTTTTTATTACGAAATAATAAAGTTTTCAAGTTTTTATTAGGAAATTGTCCAAAGCATCAACAGCTCCCTATTCAAATAGCTGGTGGTAAGGTCAGTATTATAAGTTAGTGAACATTATCTGTGATTTAATAAACATGAAAACCTTACCTCCTAGCTAACAAAGCTTAAGAGGGAATGGAGTGTATTCCTTTGCTGATTAGCATTTCTCAGAAAGATTCAGGGAACCGATAATTGCTGAATAGAAATTTTGCTTTAACTTTGCATACAGAGCTAAAAAAACCATACATACCAGAAAGTATACCAAATATTAAGTCCTTGATACCCAGTACTGACACAGCAGATAAATAAAAGTTTTCTACTATTGAGAGTAAAACAGTAACAGAAAACTTTTGGCAAAGTAGAAACTCCAAATGACCAATCTCATTTTTTATTTTATTTTCAATTTTCCCAGCACAGTTTCAAGTCCTAAAGTGTAAAAAAATGGCATGTTTCTGAAGAGCTACTGTAAGGTCAGAACATTATTTTGACCGTGGTTCAAACAATGTTATTTGGCGTATTTGAAAGTTTAGATCCAGAACTACTTGAAATCACATACAAAGATGTGTAAATAATCTTTATGTAAGTATAAATTTTAATTTAGTGTATATAATTGTGAGAGTCTGGAAAAAAATTATTACTGGCTCAAAACAACACTCTCTCCATCCCCTCCTCTCCCCTCTTCCCCCCTTTACTACTACTTCTCCTTATTCACTTTTCTTGTTGGGTTGAAATTTCCTAAGTCAGTCCTTTATGAAATGCTTTATGTTGACTATATGCTTTACACTTTTTCCAAGTTTCCTTATCTTCCTAAGTTTGCCAGTACAAGTGTGTTATTATGACCCCTTGAAAATGTTATAGCATTTTTCCCACATGCAGCCTTAAGAGACAAAAGAACTGAAGGCCCCCTTAATAAATCCATCAGGTGGGTTTGGGGCCTTATACTTTTTTGACGTAAAACCCCCCTAATGAGCTCGTGAGGCGAGCCTGGGGTCTTACACTAATAGACAAGGTAGTCCAACTCATTTTCATAACAGTAACTAATACCAGAACATGTGTGTGAAATACACTTTCTAGACTGACATGGGAATTAAATATGGAATCTTACCTGGATGAGCTTGTCTCATGTGGTAAGTCACTGGATATGGATGGGATTCTCCACACAACTCACAGATGGTGTCTTTTTCAGGTCCTCCCACTGCAAGCTGGGCCATTTCACCAAAAAGATTTCCCCTTGGCCTAGTCTCAACCTTTTCCTTTTTCTTTTTCTCTTTCTTAGCTTTCTTGTTATCTTTCTCACTTTCCTTCTTCTTTAACACTGCACAAGAACCAGGACTTGGAAAAATCATGTTTTGGGAAGCTGCTTTAATAGTTGCTAAAGAAATATCTTCCCAGAAAGCTACTAAGTGCTGCAGTGTTAATGGAAGAGGAGACTTGGATTTTATTGTGTGATGACCGGATGTTTCAAAGGAGGTAGTTTCAGTTTTTCCATCCTCACACTTTTCATGCAGAGGTGGTTCTTTTAACATTGAGAGGACTTTGTTCTTATTGATGCTACCCATTTTAGATATATCTGGTCCATGAGGTGAGATGTTGAACATGTTAAGAGCAGATGATATTTCCAATGAATGTCTATTTTTCAACTTCGTTTCTTTTTCCTCTGCAGGTTGTTGAGTAAGACTGCTTCGTATGGGCGCATGCTCTTTGGACAGTTCTGGATTAAACTTCAAAAAAGACGAGCATGCCATAGCATCATGAACTATTCCTTCATGCCAAAGAAATGCAGCAAATACAGCTCTAGCACATTCTGCAACAGAAGGTGACATTGCTTGCTTGGCAGGCTCTACGGGCTTGGAGCCATCTCCTTTGAAAAGAAAGTTGGATTTTTCCTTTTTGGGTCTTGTGTGTCTACCAGCACATTTACGGCTCACTTTTGGAGATGCTCTCATGTCTTGCTCATCCTTCAGTGGTGCTTTGCCTATGCTGAAATGAACTTTATTAGAACCATCGTCCAGACTTCTGAATTCGGTGTTGTCCTCACAGGTGGTATCTGTAATGCTGTCAGTCTTTAAAGTACTTGAAGTACATACTTCAACTACCTCACTGTGAAGATTTTCTTGTACGACATGAGGGGAAGGAGCTCTGTTTTCAGTTTCTGTAACAGGTTTTCCATCTTTTGCAATAATTTTTGGTTTAGGTGAAGTGGACCTCCCCCTTAAGGGTTCTGTTAGTGGCACTTTCTTTTTGCGAAGGGTGTCTGGATCTAATGTGTAGGAATCTGATTTGGAGCGTTCTCGAGGAGGATCAAGCTTTGTTTTTACAGGGGATGAAGGTTTCTGAGGTAGAGTTTTGTCATGGGGTGATGAGGATCGTGGAGAACTAGCACCAGATCTAACAGCTGTAAGCGTCTTTGTCTTTGGAGAAGATGACCGGGTTCCTGGCCCTGGAGATTCGGCTCTCAGTCCAGTTGTTGTTCTTCCATCAGTTTTTAGTGTTTGCAAAGTGTTATGATTTGGCGACAAAGACCTGCTGTGCGAGTCTGACCGCAGCTTTGCAGCATCTGATTTCAGGATAAGACACTCACTGGCAGATAAGCCTTCTGTATTTCTGGGTTTCTTCTGGTCAGCAACAGCTCTGTTCATTCGCACATCAAGTTTGGGTGACCTGCAGTCAGCTCTGTGCTTCGATGGCGTGTCTGTCTTTCCAGCTGGAGAAACCGGTCTAGCAGCTCCTGTGAAATTCATTCGGTCACCTGTGCAGTATATTTTATAATTGAATGGTTATGTTTACAGTGGCACCTTGAATAGTAAAAAACAAGGACTAAAGACCTGAACACAAGATAAAGATCAAACACATGCTTCTGTTCACATAAAAATGAAAGGAAACATGACAGGATCTTTTTTCACCCAGAATATTTTCAATATATTTCTTTTCCTAAAGATACATATAAACAAGTGTTAGGAAATATTTACAAAGAAAACACAACTATGGAGCTATCAAAAGGCACAGTTCACTGTTTCCACAAAACACTAGTAAAGGAAGCACAATTTACACCTTTAGGTAAAATGCCAGGAGTTAACTCAATTTACAACAGTTGCAACAGAAACCAGGGATTATTTATTTATCTCCACGTGTGTCAGCCTGACTGCAACAAGAGACTTGCACAGAGACCAAATCTATTACCAGATTTATTTTTTTTAATGCTCAAAAGTCAGGAATTGTAGGAAGTAAACACAGTTATAAGGTAAATTGGGCAAGAGGTTTGCAAACATGCTTAAACTATTCAGACTGATAATCTGAGGCATCCACCTATTCAAGATCACAAACTATCCATGTTCTGCTACCAAAACACAACCCATTTAAGAAACCCCAAAACCAACAAACCCACTTTTCTCAACCACTAAGCTAAACCAACAACTCTGGTCAATGATGTCCTCTTATTTTCATGCACTACTTTATTGGTCATATGCACATTGACTCTGTACATATATTAATCTGCAGAACTATAAAAACTATAGGTAACTTAAAATAAGTCCATACAAAAATTAATACAAGCAATGTTGAAATTACTGGCAAGCAATTCAACAGTTAATATAGCTGTCTCTCCACAAAGCCTTACACTGCAAAGTCTTGAACACAGATTTAAATCTTTCTGATCTGAATGGGTTTTCATTAGTTAAGCATGAAAAGATTTCCCTAGTAAAGCTTGTAGATTTAGGACACAGTACTTCGGATTATTTTACTTTTCTAGATATTAAAAGGTCATTTCCACTTGTCTGGGTGTATTTTTAGGAAGCAACTATTTGTCAAAAAATAAAATTTCAATTAATCAGAGAAAATCTGCTAATTTGTGCCTTGATTTCTAATGGGGATAGGCGGTCATCTTTTCCTAGTACTTTCAGTATTTACTTAGGAGGTGTGAAATCAGTGTTCAGTTTCTTATGCATCCTGGGATTTGAGCCAACTTCATGCAGTTCTAAATCACAAAGACTTACCCCTATGGTAGAAAATATATAGATGCAGTTTTTTCATACTACTACCTTTCACAATCCAAAAAAAAGAAAAGTTTTTGAGCAAAATTTAGCAACCCAGATGATTCCTTGGGTTACAAACTGATTCTTACTAATTTGCTATCTCCATATTTAAGTACCTTATAATAAAATGAACAGCAACACAAAAAAGTGAAGGGAATGAATTATGTCACAATATTTAACAAAATTGAAGGTTAGGCCACTCTCCTGCCTTCCCAGGTCATGGTAGGAGTTCACACTTCTCTGGGCACAGAAGACATACTGTGTCTATATTCAGGAATAATATGCCAAATGTAGAATATAATAATACCTCAAATACCATTCTAATCACTTTTGAGAGTCTAATCTGTCTTTTTCCTTATGAGTTCTATAATTATTTTTGACTTGGGGCAGGGAAGAGGAAGGAAAGAAATAGCATGGTACATTGTGGTTTATAAAATGATTGTTCTTGCTAAAAGAAAAAACCAAGAAGTTTCTTAAGTATCAGTCCAAGCATTTCACACATGCCAGCTGAGTTCTACACCAGTTTTACTGATGAGCCATTTTGAGATGTTTATTTTGTGATCAATAAATTCCAAAATGCAAATTATAATTATTTTTATACACATTTTTTCCAGAAACAAATAAAAAAAATTAATTCAAGGTTTGCCAGATGAGAAAATACTTTAGATAGAACTTTTTAAAGAATGCCTCATAGAACAGATTAAAAAAGTGAAAATATGATAGTAATCTTTTTGGAGGACATAAAAAACTTCAAACCATTCAGCAACGTATCAAAAATAAAGTACACGCACAATTAGTGCATATCAATCAGGAAAGCATTCTAGAACAAAACTCCTTTTAAAAGGTATAGCCTAGCAGTAGCTTCCAGTAACAAAAAAAGTCTTGTATTTTAAAAGAAAAGGTTTAGTTTTGCACATATACAGGTAAATAATCCTAACTGGCATTCTAGACTATCAGTACGAAAAAGAAAAATGCCCAAATGAAAAATTGCATAATATAGCAAAAAAATCCCAGATTTCCCCCCCCTTTCCTCTTACATGCTTTGTTTGCATGTTGTTTGAAAACAGGTGTTATCAAATTAGACTAACGTCACTTTCCTGTTTACAAAGCAGAAAGAGGCAGCTAGATTGTGTATCATGGAGTTGTTGCAACTCAGGAAAGCAACACTGAATGGTTATATCGAATGAGCTCCCAACAAATACCAGAACTGAACATTTGTTTTCAAAAAACATTATTTTATTAAATGAATGAAATGCAAATGAATGGAAGGAGAAAAAAAAGAAAACAACGTTTTGGATGTAAAAATTTGAATAACCTTGCTATGTTGGCATGCATACCCACCCTTCAGTTTGTGAGAGAGAGATGAAATAGCAGAGGCAGGCCCAGCTACATCACTAGTTTTGTAAATACGCTCACGAGAAGCAAGGCAGCAGGATGGAGTTTCTACAGTGGAAAACAGTTGCACAGAAGCAGCACAGATTCAATGGAAAAGCAGCAAAGATAAAAACAAGCATTTTAAACTATAGGTATCTCCTCTGTTAAGTATTCTGAATTCATTTAGAGTCCTCCATCAGCTTTAAATGACAAAGAGTAGTTTGTAGTAGAATGCAGTAGATCAGTTCCCCAATCTAAAAATGCTGTGACTTCCATATTAGTTTCTAGGATCTAAAAATATAATTTATGGAGAATAGCCAATGAGATCTATGGCTTATTATAAAACCCAGCAGCGTCTAGTTTGGAACTGAACCCTGGTTTGAACTGAACCCTTTTAATCTGGAAATTCAGAGATGAATTATTTAGAACTTCAATATCTCCTTCTGGATGATAAAATTACACATTCTTTAGTGAAAATTAGAGAACATCTACATATTTCTGTTGGAATGTCTTGCTAATCACTGGAAAGAAAGAAGAAAAATACATTAAACCCATCTAAACCATCTGTTTCCTAAACTGCTTAAGACTTCTTTTTGTCTGGTACTATATTTACCAACTTGTACACAAAACATACTAGCCCCCATATCTTATGCAATGACCTACAGTTCTAGAGCCTCTACAATGAGAAGGTGTTCATATGTTTGAAGTACGAATTTCATTCTTTAAAAAAAAAGAAACTACTCTCTAATTTCTCAATCCACTTTCATGAATGCACATTTATACTTTATTCTTTCACTCTATGTCTAAGAATACTTACATTTTATAATGTTGTAATCTAGTGCATCTTGAACAATGTACTACTATTCAATCATTTCAAGGGGACTGTAGGTCGAAGAGAATGACTTTCCCACATGATTTCCTTGCTGCCTTGGCAAACAATCTATGTCTATCGAGGATAACTAGTCAGCCAGAGGGACCAGCATTTTGATCAGAATTCCTTCTTTTTGAATCATCCTCAAAGACTATAAAGACTTGAAATACAAGGCAGGCAAGGTCTGTCTCATGTCATAGTCAAATGTTACAGTATATATTTAGTCGAACTCTTTCCTTCAATGTGGAAACAGCTCCAGCTTGAAAAGCTACACAATATGGAGATATAAGAGGCAGTTTAATTCCCATGGTAGGATGCAGTCTTATAACAGCTGTGCCTACTTCCTCTGAGGAAACACTGGTAAACCAAATTTGGAGGCAAGACATACCACTAGCTGGTTCATGTTACTCTTTTTTAAATAAACTCTATAACAAACTAGTAAAATGTCTCTGGAGAATGGAAATAAGTTAAAGATTCTTCTGAAATGCCACTGCTTTTATGTGCAATGATGAAGAAAAGGCATTGACCTGTCTTTGCCATGTTGCCTAAGCAACAGCTGCCTCTTCAGAAAGAATGTATTCCTCTTTTGCTCTCTGTTACTGGCACGGAAGCTAAAACACAACTGTGAGCTGAATGTCCTCATCACTGCAGTCAATATATCTTTTTTCACATCCTGAAAATGCCAAATGCTGTAGTGACAGTTGGACAAGGATTCTTTTATTAAATTATTTTTCCTTAAATAAAAGAATGTATTGAAGTAAAAAAAAAAACTGGATATTAAATATTAACAATGAAGGAAAGTATTAGATACTATTAAAGCAGGGGAATGAGTGAGTTAATGAAAGCAAAAGCTGAAATGCAGTATCATCAGAAAAATATTAGCAAAGTTCTTTACCCAAAGGTAAGGTTTGGAGCACCAACACTTGAGCCACTTAAGTTTATTAACTGAAAGACTGAAATAAGCATTCCTGGGCTAGAAGGGTAGATAAAAAAATAAGTTCATGATTTTATTATTTGTCACTAAAATTTTTCAAGATGCTATAAACCAAATTTATTTCTGGGGGAAAAAAAAAAAAAAAGCTTGACACAATTTGAACTCTTCCACCAACCATTACCATATCAGTTTTCCCCAGGACGGTTTTGGATTAACCTGGACAAGTGTATTCTCCAGACATATCTTTGATTATAAAATCTGGAAAGCCTAGAGCATGAAACCATTTAAATTATTAGCTCAAAGTTTCAGGAATGATGTTTTGGCAACATGCAGAAAAAAAGGTCAAACCAATTGTCATTGGTTTAACTGACAGTTAAGTCACTTCAGCACAGTATGGAAGAGACCAGCATACTTGGTTGAGAATATTCTCTCCATTTTACTGAAGCACTACCAGGAAAGGTTTTGTGCTCCATATCCATGCTGGTCTTTTGTGTCCCCTCTACAGTTTAGAAAATGAGGAGAGAAGCATTGCAGCCAAAGCCAGTGGTTCTAAATGCTATTTAACTAGCACCTAGATGGGAAGGGAACAAAACCAAAAAGAATGTGGTAGCACAATACTGAAGGGATGTATCAAGGAACTCCTGACATGAATGGTAGGAGCTGATATAGTGGGATGGCTGGATTGCAGCTCTGCAGCATGGATTGGCAAGGAAGCAGCCTCAAAGGACATTGTACTGAACAGCAGCTCAGCACTGCAGCTTCTGGGTGGACTGAGATGAGTTAGGAAGCAGGAGCTCAGCAAGCTGCCAGGTCTTCATGGCAAGAGGGAGAATGTGACACATGTCAAGGGGGTCCACAGCTTTTTCAGCCCATAAATCCATTCTTCATTCACAGTATGAACTCAGATGTGAGGAAACATGGCATGAAGGTCTAACAGTGACTGCAAAGCCTCACACTTCATTTTCCAAGTTCAGAGCTCAAAGTCAATTGTCAAATTTTGATAACTTATGCTGGACAGCATCCAACATCCAAATCCTGATTCCCTGACTTGCCGCGTCTAAAGAGTTTTATGACCCAGCACATACTGCTGAAGCATGTACTCAGGATTCAATCAGAAATTTGAGTCTTCTGTGCTTTTCACAAAGTTCAGAGACAAGTAAATCAAGCAAGCAGCAATAATCTTGCAGCTATGGGAGCTTCCATTCACAAGCAAATCTGTTACTGATGATTTTACAAGCTTCTCAGAAGCAAGCATAGGCAGGTTGGAGTAATTACAGTCTGTTTTGGTAAAATATTCAAGGAAGAAACATACATAAACTTGTGATCTTAATGGAAAAAAATCCTTGCTAAAGTTCCAAGTCAATACAGCTGTTCTTGTACTCCAGATAGGTTATGCAATCTCTTCTAGCTTTTTTGGACTTTTAGCTGCATACAAGACTGCCAAAGAATTAAAACACATGATAAGTGCACCTTAATTTTGACTGTCCCCATGAAAAAGGAAACAATCTCTCAGTTTTTTACCTTGTGCAACCATGTGTAAAAATTAGCAAAGGAATTAAGCAGGGCAGAACAATCAGCCCTTCACAAAGTTCTAGTAAATAACACAAAACTGAGAAAACAGAGTAACCCCTTCTTTTTTTATAATATGCCTTCTGTAAACAAATTCTTTGATATAACACAGATGACTGTTATTAGTTTATTTATTTATGATGTGAAAAAAATAGGAACACTTTCTATTTCTTCGAGCATTGTATCTGAGGAAGTGGTTATCCCTAACTATAATATTTCTGCAAAAAAATAACCAGACACTGGAGGATAAAAGGTTGTGACAAGCCTATTCTCTCTTCCTTAAATCAGTTTGGAAACCAAGTCAGACCCCAAGTGCAGAAACCATTCCTAAAAAAAAAAACAACTAGCTACAAACACTTCTAAAGGAAAACTGCAGTGACTACTGTCACTGGCACAAAGTATGTTTAATCAGATAAACATTTTT